GCTAACATATGTATAGGTGACCTATCTGAAGGAAAATACCCGTTCTGTGCCTAACAGGTTGTGGAGGCAGCAAAAAGTGACCTCAGTAGTGCTAGTTAGGCAGTTTGAGAAAGCTGTGAGGTGTAACTGTTGTATCTGTTCCCTACAGATACTTCCACTCCGGCTCGTAGCTGTCACCTTGCCATAAAGGGAATGTGAAAGTAACATACACAACTGTTCCATACTTCAGGGATAAATTGAAGACTTTGCTGGCTTAGTTTGCAATTTGCATTCTTTGCTTCAACACTGCACTTACTAAAAGGGGATGATGGTAGTGGTCTGCTTTCATCAAGTCCAAGGCCCCTATATTGTGATCTCTAACTCCAGCACTGTCATACCAAGAAATGGTTTCTAATACCACATGTGTGTCTTATCTTTTAGCTGGACAAAGCTGACAGAAAGGTTTTTTAAGAATACCCCATGGCCAGAGGCTGAGGCCATTGCCCCTCAGGTTGGAAATGGTAAGTCTTTTACTTTCTTTTGCTTGTCAGAGAGAGGAGGAACTAAATTGCTTTTGGTACATGAGTGAGCAGGCACACACTGTTGCTGCTGCCTGAGTCAGTTGTTATTGTTCACTCTGGCAACTCCTCTAGCACATGCCTGGCAAGAAGTCAAACTTGGACGAAGTATCCTTTGTGCCTCCCTTTATTACTGCGGCAGGAGGAGCACCACTGGCGTATCCAAGAGATCCACCAGTTGCCTAGGCCTTGTGGCTTGCTAATGTCCGGTTCTGTTATTTTTTCCAGATGCTGTTTTCCTCATCCTGTACAAGGAGCTGTATTATAGGCACATCTACGCCAAAGTCAGCGTGAGTGTTTGTCCTGTGTCTTCCTGTTGGTTGCATGCTGGCTCTTTTCCAGATGCTGTTTTCCTCATTCTGTACAAGGAGCTGTATTATAGGCACATCTATGCCAAAGTCAGCGTGAGTGTCCTGTGTCTTCCTGTTGGTTGCATGCTGGCTTCTCCATGCCATAAAACTTGCCAAATCTTGCTGCTACCACAGTATCAGTGGCTCTGTAATGTTTGCAAGACAGGATGGGATAGGTTTATGAGCTGTAAGTCAAGTTGCTTTTAGAGAAGCTTAAAATTCTCGCCTTTTGTTGGTTTAGTAAGGTTTCACTGAATGCTGAAAAGCGAGAAAGACTTGCCTGTCTTTCTGAGGCTCATTAGCCCTCTCCTCAAGCTTAGTTGTAATGAGTATAAGTTTCCCTGGCAGCTTATATGAATCAGCAGACCTGGTCTGAGTTTCCAGGAGGCTATTATGTAAAAGTTTCTTACTGACATCAAATGTAGTGGTTAGTGATTTAGGGAAGAAGGAGGTTGGTGGGAAGTAATTGAATTTTTTTTTTTTTTGATGGAGCTGTAATTGCAAGATCAGCTGGTTTTGTGTATTTCTTTGTGGCTCTTTGTTCTTCAGATCAGCAGGGGGTTAGACACGGTGTCACAAGAGGAAGGTGCATTGATTGTGGTTAAAAAAACACATGGGCTCAGAATGCCTTGCAGAGAGGGAAGCACAGGCACCATAAAGGATATAGAAGAAGGACATGGGAAGGAATAATGCTCTATAAAACAAAACAACCCCCCCCTTTTTTTCTTAAGCTAATTTGAAGTCAGTGAGAAAATCACAGCAGTTCTTGTCTCTTTGAGGAAAGAAGCTGAACAGAGGCATGATTTATGGAGTACATAAGTGATAACTGCAGTTTCAGTGTGGACCAGAGGGTGGAGAAATGGGCATTTTAAGAAGGCTGCTGTGTTAACCCGTCAGGCTTTAACAGGAGAGACTGGTTTCTCAAGCTGTGCTGTTAGTGGTTCTCAGACTGCCCTCCAGTGTCTCCAGGTGAAACAAGGAAGATGATTCTAGGAAGAGAGTGATTCTCTGTTGTGTTCCCTGGTCTTTCAAAGCATTTAGAAATACTGTCCAGAAGCAGAATTGTTGATTTATTAAGGCCTTTCATGAGGGGAGAAGGAAGGAAAGCTGTTGAAGGTAATAGGAAGCTCTTAAGTCTGGACAGCAGAGAGGAGGAGAAGGAAGGTTAACGCATCCTATTCACAGAAGGTTGACCTGGGAGAAGCTACCTGTGCATGTGAAGTCAGTCCTGTTCTATGGGACAATAGTGATACAATTTCAGGTTTTCTGGGTGGTGCTGGTGGGTGTCCTGGTTGAATATTGGCTCTAACATTTCTGAAATAGACCCTCTACTGCTGTGACTATTGACTGTCCTTCATACGCTCTTGCCCAGAACCTCACTCCTGCCGTGCTTGAAACTAAGCAGACTGTGCTGACTTCTCATTGCAGGGGGGGCCCACTCTGGAGCAGCGATTTGAATCCTATTACAACTACTGCAATCTCTTCAACTACATCCTCAGTGAGTTGCTGCAGTTCGTTTCTGGTTTGTGAATTTTGGAGAGGGAGAGTGGATGGAGAGGGCAGAGCTGGAGGAGGGGGCGGAAGAACCAGAGTATGTTTCTTTATAGATCATGTAGGGAGAAGTAGTCTACAAGCTTTCCATGTGTTTGAGTTTGTTGAATGAAGAGCACTTTACATCCATACACTTAAAACCACAAAAAGCACAAATAGTTTCCAGTGCTTTCTGAAATACTGTAGAGAATAAAACTTATTTAGCTTTCTGTCTTGCTGAGAACTGCTTCGCCTATCTTTATTAAAAAGCAAAATGAAGCTGTAAGCTAGAGAAAACTTGCAGTGTTTCACAACTGCTTGCTGATGCTGACTCCCCTTGGAACAAATTTTGGTGTTTGTGACCCCCTGCCAGACTTCTTGTGGAGAATAGATCGGTTAGGATAAACGCCTATGCAGCTTCTGAGAATCGCTGCTGCACTCCAGTGATTAACTCCATAAGCACTCATATTCTTTAAAAGTGAAGGCAGTTGAGGTAGCTGAAGCTACAGACCACCGCCCTGCTGGAAGCTTCATTCATCTGCTGCTGCATCTCCCATTTCAGGGGAATTCTTGTGTTCTTTAATTTGTCTGTTCCTCCAGTTCTGCCACTGTTCTTACTCAAGGTATTAAGCCTCTCCTCTTACTTATGTTCTTCTGCAGATGCTGATGGCCCTGCTCCTCTGGAACTGCCCAACCAGTGGCTCTGGGATATCATTGATGAATTCATATACCAGGTATATGACTATGAGACTGGGCCATTTTGGGGTGGCCTTGCCTCTGTTAGCACTATAAATCTTCCATCTCTTCCCTCTCTTGTGATCTTCATAGCTAGGATACCATTGCAGGTCAAAAAACTTTGGTAAGCACTGTTATTCCTAGGTCACCAGGTAGATGAAGTAGTTGTAAATGTACAGATTTTTAATTACAGGGAGCATTCTGGGGAGTCCTGGACTTCTGTTGATATTTCTGTTTCAGTTGCTGCTTAGGGGATTTTTCTTTAACTCATCTTTGTTTCTGCCTGATTTGTGCAAAGCAGCCTGACTGAAGCCTGCTATAATCACAAAGACCTTATGAAGAAACTTGTTCAAACTAGTTTCATTGTGTTCTACATTTTATTTTAGTTTTGTATTTCTCAGTCAGCAGGGCCTTTATGCTTGCACTGAGACATTGCTGACCTGTTGTGAAATAATCTATGGTCTTAGATCTTGGCGTTAGGAAATATTTTTCCACGTATTGTTCTGAGTGCAGCAATACAGATCTCAAATGCTAATGGGTTTTCCCTATAGATTGCTTTCTCTGTAACTTATTATTATAGAGCTGCCTGGAATTCCTCAAGTGCAGTCTTAACCAAGCTTGATGAAAACAGATGTGTGCATGTATAGAAAAAGATGTGTGTGTATGCAGACACATCTTATGACTTGGTCATTCTCTTTGCTACCTGTTCAGACAGCAAATTTGTGTTTAGTTGCATGTCCTAATTGTCTTAAGGGATTCTTCTTGGCTTTGTTCCATCTTCTGACCTTTTTCCTCTGTGCTGTACCATTTTTTCTCTAGGTGCTTTAAAGGTGGTACAATTTGCCATTTTGATTGCCAGGTGATCTTAGATGAAACTTTTTTTCATGTGACTTGTAGCTTATTGTAATGCATTTGTTTGATCAACTTGTAAGCTTATTGCATTTAGCTGAACGTCTCCAAGCTAGCTTCTCATCATCGACTGTCTGCTTTCTCCTGTAGTTCCAGTCTTTCAGCCAGTACCGCTGCAAGACAGCCAAGAAGTCTGAAGAGGAAATTGATTTCCTTCGTTCCAACCCCAAGATCTGGAATGTCCACAGCGTCCTTAATGTGCTGCACTCTCTGGTGGACAAATCCAACATCAACCGGCAGCTGGAGGTCTACACAAGTGGAGGTGAGCTAGCTGGGTGATGCCAAGTAAGACTGGTGTCTGTGCTGCCTTGCTTTGATGTGAACGAGCTCAGTTAGCTCTGTTTGGGAGCTGGATCAAACCCTTAGTCAGTGGACGGATTGACTGGGAACAGGTTCTGCTGGCCTGTGAGAAGTGCTGGTGATTACGCTTGAGGTCTTGCTCCCTTTGCTTGTAAACATAAGGGTGTTGAAGGGGCAGCTTGCTTTCTTGGAGGAAAGCATCATGGTCCCTTTATTTCCTAGGTGACCCTGAAAGTGTGGCTGGTGAATATGGTCGCCACTCCCTCTACAAGATGCTGGGCTATTTCAGCCTGGTTGGGCTGCTGCGTCTGCACTCTCTGCTGGGCGATTACTACCAAGCAATCAAGGTTTTGGAGAACATCGAGCTCAACAAGAAGGTAACACAACGTGTTTTAAACCCTCCGTTGCCTCTGTTTTCCAAATGCCTCTCTTCAAACATGCTGGTGAAAGATTGCCATAATGAATCTTCCAGCTGAGGAGCTGTTTGTAGCTGTTGTAGTTGTCAGGAGTTTGTAGCTGAACACAGCTGGAGCTTTGGCATTAAATCAAGCCATCTGATAATGCCTGATGCTTGTTGCAACACAAATGCCTAGTTTCTTAGGAGGTTTGCTGTGCTATGCAAGGCAGTGTTGTTATAGGGAATATTATTTGAACTGTAAGCGTTAGCACAGCGGTCGCTGGCTGAACACATCCTTGGTCAATGGCTCATTCTTTTGTTTTTGGCTCTCATTCTCACTGTGCCCACTCCCACCTTGCATGTTTTTGCCCGAGAATTGGGTGCTGCCTGTGATAAGACTGGCTAACAAAAGTACAGCTGCAGCATGGGCTTCGCCCAAGGTTTGGCACAGATCTATGTATGTGCTGTCTGGAGTGAGGATAGGGATAAAGGGAACTGAACAAAGCAATATTAGGCACGTTGCAAGAGTTCTCTGCTTGCAGGAAGCTGAAACTGGAAAGCATAGGAAATGGGATGATCTAATAAAGAGTGAAGAAGTTGCTGTATGGATGGGCGGGAGGTGAGGTATCCTGAATTAAACCCTCTTCTTTCTATATTTGGGATGGGAGTGAAAGCAGAGGTGGCTGGATTCTGGGTAGTGAGTTGTTTGGGTCAAAAATGGTCATCTCCCCTCTAACACAGTGTGGTGATCCTTCCTTCTCAGAGCATGTACTCCCGGGTGCCTGAGTGCCAGGTGACTACCTATTACTACGTGGGCTTCGCATACCTTATGATGCGGCGTTACCAGGATGCCATCCGCGTCTTTGCCAACATCCTCCTCTATATCCAGAGGACCAAGAGCATGTTTCAGAGGACGACCTACAAGTACGAGATGGTAAGAGATAGAATAGGTCTAGACTTCCCTGAAGAAAAAGCTGTTGTCTTCTGTCCTGATAACCTACATCTAATAGTCTGGTCTTATTTTCCTGGACTATGCTGATGGTGGTGACTGGGGATCCTTTGAACTGCTCTACCATGCATGGCAGTATTTTCTTAGCTGTGTTACTAGTTCCTCTGGTTGTTCATCATACAGTTGCCCTGGCTCCATCTGCACTCTCCCTCTAGGCAGTGTTTTTAATGAATATCAGCTGCTAATGATATTATCGTCAATACATCTTCAATCTCAGTCCTGTTCCAGTCCAATCCTGCATTTCAGGTTACTGCCATTGTCAGATGTATTTCCATTACCAGATAATCATTCACAGACTGTTGTAATTCAGCATGGCTGAAACAAAGCTCCTTTCTCTTTCCACCTAAGCTGTCTCTGGTGCCTGTTTTACCCCCTGCTGCTGCTGTCTCCTTTTTCATCCTTACGATTAATTTCTAACTCTTTGTGTAGCCAAGTCCTGCTGTTCTTAATTCCATGACACTTCAAAAATTTGGTATGTCTGTTTCAGCCACACAGCTGTCCATTTCATCCCACGCTCAAAGAAATCGTCCTTCTTGGTCTTTTCTTCACTGGCCTCCCTGATAACTGGTTCTTGCCAGGAGATGGTTGTTAAACTGTCTGCCTTCCCTTCTCTGCACTTTTTTACACCAAAGCAGTCAAATCTGCTTCTGGCCCATCCAGGTTCTGTGTGGTTCTGGATACATTCCCTCTGTACTTTCTTCTTGTCCAGCCCTCTTTTTCATCGATGAGAGCCTTGATAAGGCATCGGTCTGTCTGCTTTGCCTAGAGGCACTGCTTCTTTGTGCTGTCCGCCTTGAGCATTGGGACCATCAGTGCTCTGGACAAGGGTCTGTCTGAAAAACACCAGCTCCCTCTGACACCATAAAGCCTGAGCACATTGACAGGCTAACAGGTTCTTCTTTCTGTCTCAGATTAACAAGCAGAATGAGCAGATGCACGCACTCCTGGCCATCGCCCTCACCATGTACCCCATGCGCATAGATGAGAGCATCCACCTGCAGCTGCGAGAGAAATACGGGGATAAGATGCTGCGCATGCAGAAGGGTGATGCACAGGTCTATGAGGAGCTCTTCAGTTACGCTTGCCCCAAGTTCCTCTCCCCCGTGGTGCCCAATTACGACAACGTGCACCCCAACTACCACAAGGAGCCCTTCCTGCAGCAGCTCAAGGTCTTTGCTGATGAGGTTCAGCGGCAGGCCCAGCTTTCCACCATCCGTAGCTTCCTCAAGCTCTACACCACTATGCCTGTGGCAAAGCTGGCTGGCTTCTTGGACCTCACGGAGCAGGAGTTTCGTATCCAGCTGCTCGTTTTCAAGCACAAGATGAAGAACCTGGTATGGACCAGTGGCATATCTGCCCTGGATGGGGAATTCCAGTCTGCTTCTGAGGTCGACTTCTATATTGACAAGGTTGGTATCTGCCCCTTGCTGACTAGGAAATTCCTTCACCCAGGAAATTCTGGAAATGGCCACACCTGGTTGTGCTCCAGTCTGTGGGAAATATCCCGTCCTTCTTTGCCATGTGAAGGGCTTGGCTGCCCACAGTGAAGCCGTAGCCCTGCTTAATAGAAGTGTCAGTGGATGAACAGTGATGGGATATTGCAGGTAGCTTTGACAGTTGTACTCGGAAAACAAAGGTCCTAAATATCTTCCCCAGGGCAGAGGGAACTGTTTGTCAGTGTTCTCAGGAGGTGACAGCTGGGTGACAGATAGTGCTGCCAGTGTGTCAGGTGGGATTGTCAGTTTTGTTGGTCTCCCTCACGTCTCTCCATTGCTTGACAAAGCAGGGATCTTGCTTGGTCATGTTACAGGTCTGTTTTTCACTGGAGCAGCATTTAGCCCTGTCTGCTCTAGGAGGAATTTAAACACAAGGTATGGTCCTTTCACCGTCATGTCCTTGGAGCTCCAGGCAGTAGGAAATGCTGGAAAGAGTCTTTCAGGACTTCATTTTTTGAAGCATTTCGTTTCTTGCTAGGCAGGAGAACAGATTGCCACTTGGTCCTTAGAGCAGATCGCTTCCTGCAGGGTCTCATGCTTTGTCTTCCCCGCTTACCTGAACCAGATTGACCCATGTCTGACTGACTTGCATTGCAGCCTAGCTCTCCTGGTAGATAGCACGACTCTTAGCTGTTGGTAGAGGGAAGCAGAGCATGAATTGGTGTTGGGACTGTCAAACGGCTGCAAAGAGAGACAAAAATAGGCAGAGAGTGCAAGAATGCGGGAAGCAAATACAATGCAAATTTGGAACCTATCACAGGCAAAGGTATAGGGAAGGCAGCCCATGGGAGAACTGAGTGGTTGCTGTGGGACTAGTGCAGGTCAGGTATGTGTGATGCTGAACCAAGGCTGGAGTGAAGCCCCTTTGGTTGCTCCTCCCATTTGGCAGTGCTTGCTGTCTCCCTGCTAGCGCAGACCTTGTCCTGATCTCATGCTGTTCCCTCCCCAGGACATGATCCACATCGCAGACACAAAGGTTGCTCGACGCTATGGGGATTTCTTCATCCGCCAGATCCACAAGTTCGAGGAGGTGAGGCCTGGGAGGGAGAGCTGTGTATCTCTGTAGGAGAAGTGGGGCAAGCACTGGGCTCTGCAGCGCCTGGAGGAGGCGTTCTTGGTGAGACAGCTGTGTGATGTCTTGCTGGGGCAAGACCCAGCTCTGCGAGGCACTGGCAAAGGCAGGTGGTTTAAGCAGCAGCTGCTGGCCTTTGAGGAATGGTATGTTTTTGTGTGAGAAGGGCTCATTCAGTTGAGCCACAGTGGAAAAGGAGGGGGAGTTTACTGTGTGAGGGTGCTGACTCCATTGTCCCTAGGCAATGGGTGGTGTTCCTGTCAGTAACACAACCAAAATCTCTGCCCTCATAACAACAGCTCTAGAAAATGGCCTCAAAGATTTCTGGGGCACAGATGACTTCAGCGTTGTGCTCGGCCAGGAGGTGACATTCTGTCATTGCTCCACTCTCCTGGCAGAGGCTGCTGCGCACTGGAAACTTGGGCAGCAAAATCCCGAGATGTGGAGACTGGAGTAATACAGGGTTGCGGTGCCACTGCTAGATGTTTGCACCCTGTCTTCTCCCTGCATCTTCCTCTGCTGTCTTGGAGAGGAGGAGGGAGTTTTACTAGTTCCCCTTCTACTTCACACACTGCCTGTGCTTGCACAGGACATCTTTTTGTCAGTGAGTTGGAGAGGAAGGAGTAGAGGCATTGGATAAAGGCTGCTGAGGGGAACAGTAGTGTATGTTGATCACTACGTATCTTTCTGACCTTTGCTTTCTCTAATTCCAGCTGAATCGAACCCTGAAGAAGATGGGCCAAAGACCCTAAAACTTCTGTGGATGCAGTGACCATCCTGAGCAGAGAAGTGGGTGGGCGAGATTATTCTCTTTGTGGCAAGGAAGGGGAGCTCAGGGTTCTGGCATTTCTAGAATCTCCTGTGACTCTGAAGGTTTTTTGTACTTAAATAAGCAGAGTCGTTTGGCTCAGGCTATCCTATGAAGGACAAGACATCGAATAAATTAGTGGAATTTTCCTGGTGAGCATTCAGTATCTGTCATACTCATTTATTTTTCCTCCCGGGAAGAATATAATTGCATCTGGACACATGGGCAGCTGCTGTTGGTTTGTGCTCTCTTTGGTCCGTGCTGTTGCAGGTAACAGTGGGGAGCAGATCTCTTTCCATGCTCTGTGGAGGCACTGTGCACAGTGAACAGGGAAGGCTGCGGAACTGATTAACAAATTGAAAATTAGCTGTGCCATAGTGTTTCCACAGGATATGGAAAGAGATGCAAGCTAATATCATTCCTTTTAGCTCTTGTCCCACACGTGGAATAAACATGAGTTGTAGTTGCTTTCCTAGAAGGTTGCATCTTTGCCTTCCCACCCCCACCCCCCTTTTTTTTTTTCAGTTGCTATGAAGTAGAAATGCTCCAAAGTGGACTAACGTATTTTTAAAGGAAGGGGGAGGATTTTTGTAGACATTCAACAAATATTCACTTCGGTCATCTGATGAGATGTCCTTGCTGGAGGTCGTGTTTTATTTTAGCACAAGTGATGCCCAAGTCCTGGCCCTTAATTTAATGGAGTTCTGTTTCTCCAGAAAACTCCCTGAGGGTGTTGAATTTATTAAAACCCTCTAAATGCTAATTTTCCCAGCTCTCCGGCCACTCAGTTTCTTCAAGGCAAACTTGCAGTGCCTTGAAAGAGAAAAAACAGTTGAAAATGAGCCCTATAAAGGGAAGTCAAGGACCTGTAAATACCGGGGAAAAGAATGCAAAGAATGGATCCCATCTCGTCTACCCTCCACACCCTCTCTCCTGTCTCCTTTTGCAGACTGTCTTAAAATAGGTCGGTGGTTGAGTGCTGGAAACAGCTGCAAGAGGGAAAACCTGCATGTGTCATAGGAAAGCTACACAAAGCGCGCTTCATATATACCGTCTGCCTCTCTGTACCCCTCCCTCTCATTCCTTTCCACTGAGAAGAGGGGTCCTGGCAGTCCAGTTTGGCTTTGTGTGTGATTCTGTTTAGAAGTCAGGAATAATTAGCCTTTGTTGGATTACATGCCGTGTTTGAATGAGGATCAAGTTCCTCGTGTCCTAGATGCTGCTGCTCAAAAGTAAACTCTGTTTCGCAGGCAGGGTATAGGCAGCACAGAGTGAGATTAAACGAGCAGCTTCTGTTGGCTGCCTAGCTGCTGCCATTAGTGTTATGCGTGCTAAGAACTTACCATCTCCAGTTCTGAAGGGTCTGAGGCAGACGAATCATTAAGAAATTAAAGGCCTAAGATACCACTGCATTGCAGCAGTCTGCAGGAGTTGGGTTCATACCAAGAGAATCTGCTCCTTTTTATTTTTGGGGCTGGCACTTTTGCTTGTGTGTGTTTACCAACAGCAGCACAGTGAGCGTAGCTGTCAACAGCAGCTCTCGTCCTACTTGTTATCCAAAGCCTAAATCTTTCCCAGAAGGTGCTAAGACAGATGTGATGTACAACAGGAGAACCTCTGGTAGGGCAGCATCTCCATGATCCATTCTAGTTCATAGCATAGCAAAGGAATCCAGTGCGTTACTGGGATTTGGTCTGGTTTTAATCTGTGACTGGCATGTTGGAATTACAGACTTTTAATGCACGTGTGTATCACCTTAGACCTTCCAACGGTTACAGGCCAGTCTCAGGTATGTGAATACGCTGCTGCTTGTGTTTGTCTGCCAGAGCGGCTTCCAGGGGATGCACAAGAGCACATCCGCCGGCCTGCCTGGCTCCACGCCGTGTCTGAGGGACCGCTGAAGGTTAACTGAGCGGGACTGGCACTTATGGAACGAAGCCAGGAAGAGCTTGCAGCTCTCTCTCGGGGCGGAAAGATGGGCTCAGCGAGCTGCGGTGCCTGGCACTGCTTGAAGCCAGAGGAGTGCAAGGGCGTTCAGCAGCATCAACAGAGCCCTGCTGCTGCTGGAAAGGCAGGGAGGCGGGGTGGGTTTGCTTGAGCTTGAGCCTTGCTGCCGCAGCAGGGTTTGGTTAGTGGAAGTGTTCTCGGGTGGTTCTGGTCAAAATTATTTTCTCAGAGGGAACCAGAGCACAGGGTTATCTACTCTGTGTCTCTGTCTCTGACCTACAGTTGTGAAGGGGCAAGCGTGATTGTGGACCCTGGAAAAGGCAGTCAAGAAAACATCCCTGATCCTGCTTTCCCCGAGGATACACCTGGAAGACACTGTCAGGCAGCTCTGGGGGATCCTGAGCAGCCAGCTCGGTCACTGCAAAACTGAGACAATGCTTCATTTCCTTTTTCTCTGGTAGTAGCTTTTGTGATTTCCACCACAGCTTATCTTGGGCACTGGAGGGGGGAGGCTGCGCAAGCCATTTGAAGGGAATTTGTTTTTCACTTGTTACAGCTCTGGGGCCATGGAGCGATAGAATGAAACAGTGGAATAGGAGGAGGAGGGTGCTGCGAATGAGATCTGACTGGAGAAAGGAATATAGAGCCCATTAAAAAAAAAAAAAGTGGAGCGAGGGGACCCCTCCTGATTTGGGACTGGCAACGATAAGCTCAACATCTGTGTGATGGATCAGCCTTCCACAGAGGTAGCTGTTGCCCCCCTTCAATCACTGGAAATGGAAAAAACCAAAATGTTTAGCTAATTAAAGTAACATTTAATAGTGTGTTTCCCCCCCGCCCCGTCGGTCTCAGACATTAAACTGGCAAGTCTGCTGTCGTGACAATCCGTCTCGTCGATGTTGTGGGTTCCTGAGATTGTATCGCACCCTTCCTCTGCTTCTTCCAGGGCTTCCTGTGAAGTACCGCCTGCAACTCCAAATGTCCTTATCTTCAAAGCCCTCCCTGGCCCCGTGCCTACCCCGGGAGCCACCTTCGTCCTACACGTACTCCACCGATGTTTCCGTGTCCTCAGCGCTGTGGCTTATGCCCCCAGGACTGCCGAGAACTGCTTCTGCCTAGAGCCGCCTACGTCGAAGCCTGAAGAGGATCCAGAAACGAGGCTCCCTGGGGATTTGTGTTTCCCTGAGCTGAACTTGAACTTTTGAGTTCGGTCCCAGCTCTTTTCAGTTCCTGCTTGCAGTCCTTCCGCCTCCTTCGAGGACCGAGCG